TATCGGGGCCAATTTTGCCACTAATGGGGGGTTTCCGTGCAATAAAACCTACATATTTGGATTGTACAGAGTGAGAGGATTCCAATGATACCAAAATTGTCGATATCGGAGAGGCGAAGCTAATATAGAAAATTACCAAATTCACCACCAAATGAAATACTTGAAGATTTGACTTTCATTATTTCTGCTATAGTTATTAAGAAAATAAGAATGAATTTTATAATATAGGAAAAATTACTCCTGGTGAATAGCCTAGTATATAATGATACATATATATTTGAGACAGGAATATTTTTATCTCTGGTTGCATTATTTTAGTGTTCTCAAATTATGTGAACTATTTCAAGGACTTTTTAAAATAGGACCGTAGCCTTAGCACTTTACTCTCTAGCAAGGGCAAAAAATCTCCATGTATGTTCGGGTTAAATAAAGCTTAGACTGATCTATATATATATATATATATATATATATATATATATATATATATATATATATTATATATAGATAATATATATATAATATATAATATATATATATATATATATATATAATATATATATATATATATATATATATATATATATATATATATAATATATATATATATATATATAATATATATATATATATATAATATATATATATATATATATATATATATATATATATATATATATATATATATATATATATATATATATATATATAAGTACCAGGGAAGTCTACAAGCTCTGTGTTGCCAGGTTATGTGTAGTGGTGTGTTGAGTGAGGCATAGATCATCTGACTTTGATAGATAATTGTTGGTTTTACATTAGGCAGATTATATTGTTTACACTTAATATTTGAGCTAGGTTTTATAGAGGAATTTTGTCACGGTCATACATCGACTAACATATCTGCTCAGAAGCCCTCAGTGCAGTCACCAAATCATGCACGCATCAGGGAAAGGGTTAAGTGGAAAAATATATATAATGTAGAATTTCCATTGCCTGATACATTGTGAGGATCTAGCTTGTGTCATTAATATCAGGATTTTCAAATCAGTTTTATGAACTTAATACCAAGTTTTTGTTTCTTTTATAAATTCTTACAAAGTTGAAGTAAGACAAATACATTAGATGCATAAAAGAGTAGTTGGTAATTAAAGTAATATTTGTATGAAGAAGGAATACTGCATTTACAATCATACTACTTTGCCAGAAGGGGATATGTTATCTGAGTACAGGAATACAAAATACCTTAGATACATAAAAAAAGAAATAAATTATTACTCAAACTTGGAGTGAATTTAAGCCTACAATATGTCTGACCCACATTTTACACCAACAGGCCTACTACAACTACCGAAGGAAAAGTACTTCAGGCTGGAGCATCGGCAATATCTTGCTAGACTTCACAGGTGGTTCACTCTCCATAGCCCAAATGTTCATCCTGTCTTACAATTATAATGACTGGGGATCTATATTTGGGGATCCAACCAAATTTGGACTTGGGCTTTTTTCAATCATCTTTGATATATTCTTCATGGTTCAGCATTACATTTTATATCGAGGGAATGAGGACTACCTGCGGGTGCTAGAGCCTGATTCCCAGGGTCAGAGGAATTCACTCACAGCATCTGTATCTTCAGCTGATTATGGTTCTACTGGAAATCACTAGCAAGCTTTAAGGTAAAATGGTGCTGTAAATTGTTCAAAAAATAGATTGTATTTTTCTTATTTGAACACAATATAGAAAGAAACAAAATTTGGTGTAATTATGCTAATTATTGTTAACATTGTTTTAGTTTCAAAGAAAACTATTTGTGTCAAGATTTTTATAACCATACTTGATGTTATTATAACATTTGATATAGACATACTTAAGTTTTATTTTATTTTATTCATGTATTAATTTCTTTAATTATGATTAGTAACAAGAATTACTAGTCTCTCTAGATGAACAGAATGATATTTTGATGATTGCAGGGAAATAAACACATAGATTGTAATAATCCATATGTTCTTGTTGATGTTTAGAGTTGGTTTGTTCTATCTATAATTGAATGCTTTATTAGGCTTAACTGGAGTAAAATAACTCATTGTGAGATTCCAATGCTTAAATGCAGTGCATACTAGCAGTAATTTAAAATAGTAGATGGAAATTATTCAAATAGAATAAAATATTTTGTATTACAATTAGCATTACTTTATTTGCTACAAAAATATCATAAGATAATGCAAGTTATCATACTGTGGCTAGTCTGTATGAGGATAGCGTATTGTGGTTCAGAATCCATTCACAGCCAGTGGTTTGATGTTTTATGTAACTTAAATGTCTCGTTTATTTTGCTTTTAGATTTAGAAGTAGATTGATTATAGCAAATGTAATAAAAATGAATTATATTAGTGAATATAATGAAGATTTATTATATTAGTAAATATAATGGAGATACTTTTTAAGGATTAATCTAATGTCAACAGAATTTACATAGGCCTGAACAAGTATTTAGGTTTCAAAGGTGATGTTCTGATACCTTTGATATATATAGTGAACACCTATTATTTGTATCTTTTTTTCTTGCTCCTTGTTTTCATTACTTATTTATTATGCGTACATCATACATTTTCACTCTTCCTTTTATTTCCTCCCCCTGTTTATTTCTTGTGGTTTCCATACTCCGTATCACTTGTGTTTTATGGAATGTATCTTTGAATTTAATAATCCAGAAAAATAACCCTTGCATTCAAATAGCTTAATTAAGCAAACAATATATGAAAATTAGGATAATTTGGTCACATCTTTTAACCCCCAAAAAAAGAAAAATCTCATATACATTGATTTTGTCCTGTTTTTCTGGGCACAGGGCAATGCATTTTTTTTTTTTTTTTTTGGTAGGAGAGAGTATTATAGTTGTTAGATAAGCTGAACAAAGAAAAATTTACCATTTGACTATTAGTGTTTCCTTGAAAAGATATAAAGAAAATTTATTTACCTTTTATGTCAACTAATTTGAATGGTTGTGATGTGTACTTACATGATTGATTGATTGATTCACCCCCGCCCATATGTAAACGTGTGCATTTGCATATGTACACAAATACTTATACTTGCTAATATATATGCTTATGTACACTTACACAAGCAAACACATATAGAGACAATAGATAGAGAGACAGACATATAGGTAGTTAGATAGAAACAGAAAGATGTAGTTAAATAGATTTTTTTTATATTTGTATATACATGTATCTATCTGTCTATCTGTTTATATATTTAACTCCACGGTGACAGATGACATAAGAGCCAGTGACTCGTAAACACGTCATGACTTGCAGCCGATGGGCCGCCTGTCCACAGCTTAGACCTAGCCGCAAAATCTAGACTGCTAGAAATATTACATTACAAATATATCATGCCCTGTCATTATTGGGATTTTCTTTTCTTTACACATACACCACACCACACCACATGCCTACGCATACACATACACATACATGTATATATCTTTTATTTTCAATATAAAAGAATTATGGCTGTTTTTATAATGTAATTGAAACAAATAACAGTGAATACTTGTAACCTCTAGTGAACTAAACTATTTGTTTATCTGTATCAGGCAGACATGTCTGTACGTTGTAACAGTATTATATAAGGTTAAGTACATTATGATTAAGGATGAGCATCAGTGTTTTGTTGTAAGGAAAGTTCTATAACTTTCTATGGTTCTGTTGTAAAGAAGAATGTTTATTGTAGTTGATTTTCAGGATACCATTTTATGAATTATATAAAACTATATTTATTTCTTTAAGAGGTTTTATTTTGTGTGGAAAAAAATGTATACTATTTCTGCCGTGAAGAATGAACAGTATCAGGAAAATTCACATGTGAGTGCATGTCAGACACTTATGTATTTGTGATTCAACAAGTAAATCCAGGAAAAAAATATCATGCTAACTTTGCTCTACCTGTAAACATTAATATGGCTCTACACCATTCTTTTGGTGATTTGTGAATAAGTTATTGAAGAAGTATATTTAATAGACTCTTGAATATGGCTTTGCATAAGGAAATTGATGCAGTTTGGATTTTTTGTTACTTCTGATTTTACCTGTGATGATCTCAATTAGGCTTATGATTTATATATAAATGTACATTTTTTCCCTTGTTCCTCTACATGTTGACTACTGGTTATACAAGTGAATTCACTTCTTCATATTTTATTGTGGAACTTTCCTCAGTGTATGAGTTCAACTTAGATTGACAAGTACATAACAGACCCATTTCACATTACAATCACCTAAAGATACTTTTCATCAGAGAATTATTTAGAAGCTATATATACACAACTAATAAAAGGTTATTGCCTCTTCTTTAGACAGACACACTCATTATAATTCACCATTTTTATGCATCTCTCACTTTTTTTTGGGGGGGGGGCAGTATTAGTTGTGTGTATTTGAGCAAATTAAATCTGACAACTTGTGTGTATTGTTTCTTCTAAAAAGTGGAATTGTTCTAGGGTAGCTAAAATTTGAAGAAGTAAATCTTTGATTTAATAAGATCTGTGCAGCCTCATTATTCACCAAAAGAGAGGAGACAGAACTTGAATTTCCTTTATTTTTTCTTATTTTTTAGATTATATTTATGTTTTGAAGTGTGATATTTTCAATATTCCTAGATATATTGTCTTACAATTATCCATTCATTTAGCCTATTTTGTTATTAGATATAATTTTAAGTTATATGAACCAGATTACTATTCCATACAAAGTAGAATTTTTATAGTTGTGTTTGATAATTTTGCCATCTTAAATTACAAGATTATAAGAACTATGACATGTAGTACCTGTAGAAGCACGTGTATGCTCCCTCAAAGATGGCCACCTAGTTTCAGCAGTGTTGCTAAGATAATCAAATAAAAATGTGTAAAAAATTCAGTGATTTTATTACAACATCTTGACCAGTTTTTGTCTTTACCTCCTTTTTTTGAACATGTAAGTGTCAGGCATATATGCTT